TTGAATATAATGATTTCGACCCTGGGTAACATCGACAAACAACGAACGAATGTATGAGAAATGTTGACTTCAACATCTATGTCAAGGATGACAACGCCTAAAGCTCTTGTTTACTACGGGTGTTGAAGAAAATGTAGCAAGGCGAGATGCAAGACTTCTGATACAACTCGGTGAGAGAGAAGATGTTGAAAAATTTAAAAAAAGTGAGGATGCGATTTAAGAGTCCACCGTTCGAGATGATGTAAATTTCGTAATACGAAGTGGCAGAAAACGCGAGCAGATTTTGACGCAGCGATTAATCAAGATCAAGGTAACTATCAGTTCCTTCAGCGAAATACAGCCAATTCGACTAAGCGAGAAAGTCCGGACCAAACGCGAAATACCGCTGCAGAAAAAAGAAAACTACTGTGTCGGCCAAGTGAAAGAGTGGAAGAACACTGTCGTAGAACATTTTATTTCTGAACAGACACCAAGAGGCTTGAAGCTAAGCTAAAATAAACAAGGTCCTCCTGATTTCCCGACTGAATAAGTACATGCTCTAGCTAAACTACTTGGAAATGTAGAATTTACGAGAGCATTTGAAAGCAATTTAGGGGTCAACCGCGTTTATGGGAGGGGGAGCTGTAGTTTGTGCTGATTACCACACTAGTAATCACCATGGTTGTACTTTTAGTCTATTATGGTACGATCACACAAGAATACCATAATGCCCATGTGTTCGCAAGTTAAAAAACTTGTTACCGGTCCGTTTATCGACCGGTGCATGGAAAATGGCAAAACATGGGGCAAATTCTTTGTTCAAAAGAGTTAACGGTTAAGACAAATTTTGTCCTTCTCTAAAACTCAAATTCTGCATCTTTGGAGCTCGAAGTCCACCTTGTTGATGTGGCACTCTAACTGCGGAAGACAGACTGTTTCAATGGAACGAATAAATAGCAGAACATTGGATTCTTCCTTGACCTGACGAGAAAACCATTTCCACCAGACGAGTACAAAACCTATCATTTTTTGCGGTACATAAGATCGTTGTGGTTTTGGTAGTAATTTCCAGATGTAATCAGCACGATTCAAGCAAACGCTGAAACCGCTAATATGACATCAATTTACAAATACAGAAAAAAGCAGAGGAGCACAGAAATGAAAACAAAATGAAAATAACTGGAGCAACTGTTCGGTAACACAAGGAAGTAATGGGCAGAGGGAAGAGGAAAGGAAGGAACAAAAGCAGTTGTTCTCCTAGTCTCGGATGAACTGCCGAGTAAGACGTATTTCACATTAGGTCGGCGGTGATTAAGTGTTTAAACGAAGAGAAACTGTTGGGCAGAATAACACCTGCAGCACTACGGATGCACTAGTTGCCTAATTTTTGATGAAGACCATAAAGGTAACTGCTTTCCTCATCGTCATATAAAGCAAGTCCGCAAAAAAGTTGTACAATTACTGATGCCTGGCCTGGCAGAAATAATGTCTCAGATTCAAACAACACATCACGGGTTGCTTCCGGAAAGGTTGGTCGGTCTCCACCTCCGTGACCACTTCTTCACTTCTCGGACTTATGTTCGCCTCCGAACGTCTGCCACAGCGGACAGTTTGCATAGGAGGAAACTGAATGAACTTTCTCCAACTTGAAAGGATAGCTTTTCACAGCAGGAGAACGCAGACTCGCGAAAACTCCTAAAATCCGTAATCTTGAAAATAGAACCAGACAGTTTATTTATACACAACACAAATAATATGAGCTACCAGAAAATTGACGAGCATCCATGTTTTGGATGCGTCCCACTGATCTTCGACAAGGTAACGAGGCCTTCTGGTTCCACATGAACCAGAAGCTGCGAACGATGAAACGCACAATTTCCGAGGTCAGTCAATCAACTTCCTCACCGTGAGGCATGGATCGAAACGTCCGTGCTGGTCAGTCATCCGACTGACAAATACAGCTGGCACTTTGTATAAACAAATCATGTTTTAATGCTATTTCATGTTTAGCATGACTAGCAACGCATCCTCGAAATACTCAACCGACTCCACTACTCAGTAGTAATCCGGCATATTAGCACCAAATTTTGAAAATATTCCGCAAAATAACTTATATCCAATAATTATTCATAACACTTTACACACAAGACAACTTGCATCACACTGGAAACGAAATGGGGTGAGGTATCGGTGAAACTTGCACTGCAATAAATGAAGAGCACTTCGGATAAATCTTCGGAGTAACGATATCTAATACTGAAATGATTGTGATATAATAAAACTACAAAAACTGTTTTTATGTGAGAACCTTAACAGTTATCAGTTACACTGTATTATTAATCTGAATAGATTCTAATTCTCTTGAGAGGAACTGAAGGAAAGAATGGCATACTTAGCTCTGCAAAATGCCAGAATCGTCTTGCTAGCCTTTTTAATAATTCGTATTTTAACCAACGAACACAAACTATTGCGAGGCATAAGGAGCCGTAGATTAAAGGAAAACAAATACAGAAAGGTCTCAATTTACGAACACAACAACGTCAACACGTTCTTCATTGTTGAAGTCCTACCGAAGTAGTCAACCGAGGGCTGATCAAGAGGTACAAGTTTTCGCATTTCTTTCTATCTTAAATATACTATCCGTTAGTTATAACAGGGGCAGACCGTATAAGGCTGAAATTGATGGCTACACAAAAAAC